TACGAGCCTGACCGTTTTGCTCCCGAGTCCCTCGAGTTTCTGAACGCCGAACTGTCAAAGTCTGCACCCAAGTGTGCGGTTCAAGTATCTAAACTACCAGTCCTTTTGGAGGCAGCCAGCGATATGGACGACTACGATATCATACCCACATGCAATCAGCTGGGCCTCTTTGCGACGCAAGATATTGCGCCAGGAGAGGCCGTCTTGGAAGAATATTCGCTTTTGACCGCCAACAACCGCCTCAAAGAACCAGTCTGTGATGCGTGTAGTGCGGAACTGCCACCATTGGGTAGTGAGCCGGCCGCTGTCAGCTGCGACGAATGTTACGACACAGTCTTCTGTAGCCAACACTGTCATGATATGGCGCAAGAACTTTACCACCCTGCTGTATGCGAAAAGGACGTCGACGCCATCGCCAAGGACCCCGAGGCTTCAGAAGCCGACGAGACACTGCACCTGCTGCTTCTTGCGCGTGTTTTGGCCATGTCCAACCACCAGGAAATACACCCCTTGGATGTGACGCAGATCAAGTACATCTGGGGTGACTTTGTGCCTTCAGCATCGAACGATATCGAGATCTCACCAAGTGCGAATCCGCCGCCGGAATGGACGCTGCCATTCTCGTTCAAGTACAACATCGAGACACCCTTCCACATCCTCGAAAAGATGGACGTCGACATATATAGTACTATTCAAGAGCACGATTTGTGGGTTCTGAATACCCTCTACAGCAAATTCCGCGGTACGGCATCGGCCCGTAAGAACCCGCGCGATGGTCGACCCGATGTCGCTGCGGTACACCCCCTTTGGTGCTTAGCCAACCATGACTGCAATCCGAACGTCACATGGGATTGGGGAGGACAGATGACACTCTGGGCGCGAAAGACAAAGGTTGTGGGCGGCGTTCCAGGAGGACTCAAGGCCGGTGAAGAGGTCTTGAACCACTACTGCGACGTGACAATGCCCGTCGATCAACGAAGGGCTTGGGCAAAGGGAAGTCTCGGCGGATGGTGCATGTGCCAAAGATGTCGAGACGAAGCAGCCGCTGCTGAGCCGCAAGCATTGTGAACCTAGCTCATCATCGGCCTGCAAGATTTGGAGACCCACAGAGACTTGACAGTCTACACTGCCTACTTTCGACCGGCGATTTTTGAACGCCGGAAAACTTGCGATTAGCGAGCGATTTACCGGGAATTAGAGGAAACATACCATTAGAGATTATATCATTGGAGGGGCCGAAATTCGGGGTCGAGGCAATAGGAAGATCCATTTTTACGTCCGTCAGGTTAGGGATACCTACCTTTGGATATGTTTGTACGCGAGCCCCCCGGTCATGGACTTGGGGGAGAGAAGGAGACATACACGAAAAAATAATCGCGAAACGTCTTTTTTAATGCATACTGCCGTGGACAAATCCTCGTTCACATACCCCTACCGTGTATTGTCTCCGTCTGTCTCCTACGTGCGACACCACCAGGCCTACCCCTCGAGGCTATTCGCATGCTGAAAGCATTCGCCCACGAAATTCTCGAGAAGCTCGAAGGTATAATTTTGTCATCTTTGAACATTGATGGTGTATATCCAGGCCTTGGGCTACTGCCATTTTCTCTTCTTGGTAAAGCTCCTGACGTGAATCTACTCGGCTATGATGGATTTCGGGAGTAGATGTCGCTAAAAGAAAATGTGTAAAAATGGCTGCAGTCTACAGACTCGGACGTCTATTCAGTCTCCGCCTTAATGATTTGAACGAAGTCTGAAGGGCACATGGCGATACATACATTATTTGGGTAATACGAAGGGCGACTTTGGGAGCGGATGAGGATGAGGCCAAAGTTCCCGAGAGCAACCGCCCCCCCCCCCCCCCCAAAATATCGCATTATCGCAGTCGGGCCAAGTTACCTTGCGCCGACTTCCTCTGCGTCAGCCATGCAACTATCCGACATTACAATCCTGTCCTATTTACTTTGCTGAGGAGAGCGGACGGGGAAAGAAATGTCCGGTTCGATCTTGAAAAAAAAAAAAGTGTGGTCGTTGGCTTTGTTTTGTTGCTAGGAGCTGGCAATGCAGTTGACGAGGTGAGACGAACGTGCAGGGCAAGCGACAGAACGATGCCGCATGCAAGATGACGCCTGGTACAAATACCGAGGACAAGGCAAAAAAGCTACTGCCGGATGTGCCATATTACATGCCACAGCATGGATGCAACCCACAGTGATAAGCCACCTCGGTATAAAGAGTGTTTTACTAGGTATCTTTCATTGATAACGCTATTGAAGAGATATCAAGTCGGAAACAAGGGCCATCGAATTTGCCCCTCCAAGACTCAAGAATTCACTCTTGATACCAGGTTTCCCCATTAGAATGGTTTCGTGTGTCGGGAGGAACGAAACGACACAGTGAAGTAGACCCCATTGTGGCGGCATACACATCTACCGCCCCATGACCCCATAAGGCCTACGGAGGGAGCTCTCTTCCCAGAGTTATGCTTTTTCCCCTTCCACGCTGATTCCGTATTCCACTGTGAGAACTACAAGGTTCTCTCCTCCCCCCTCCTCCCCCCCGGTTGCGAGCCGCACTTTCCTTATTTGAACGGGCACCGCGTGTCAAGGCAGACGCCGATGCTGGGCGTATAGCCCGCGCAGTTGAGGTCCGCGGCGCAGCCGACCGAGGGGCCGCCGTAGCAGCAGCAGCACTCTGCCTTTGTGGGAGCGCGCTTGTCGAGGGTGGTTTCGATTCCGCCTGGGGTGGCGGCTGCTGCCGTGATGGTGGCGGCGAGGGCGAGGGCGAAGAGAGATTTGAGTTGCATTTTGTTTTATGGGGGGGGGGGGGGGGTTTGGAGAAGGGGAGTCGGCTTCTGTTTGGTATTATGGCAACTTTGTTTCTGGAATTGACGTGCTTCTTTGGTACTTTGGTGATCTTTTATGTAGATTTGCCATTCAAAAGTATGTGGCATTTCTGCTGGGAGGTTCAAGGCGAGGGTGAGAGAGGCTGCTATCTACATTCCTATTCTGGAGTCATTCACCGATAGGATTCGTTGTGTCTTGAGTTACCACTCTGTCTTGAGCTGGCAAGATGCGGGGATTTGATCAAGGCGACGAGTGCAATAGTCGGTTCTCAAAAACCCCCCCCCCCCCCAAAAAAAAAAAAAACCTCTGGCCTACACGAAAGCTCCAAACGTTGCCAACCCCTCGAGTCTCGAGTAAGCGAGCTGAAGGAGTCTTCGGGCGTCGAAGGATTTGCGGCACAGCAATCTGACGATCGCGGGGCTTTTGTTTTTAGATAAAAAAGACCTTATCTAAAGCTAGCGATTTGGAAGATGCCAAGAAGGAAGGAATTCAGTCTAATGCGGGTTGAGCTCGGGGTTTGGATACTTGATGGAGAAGGTGGTTGTATCAATGTCTTTCTCTTGGGCTTTGGTGGCGATATTCTGTTCGGCGGCAGATGGGCTCTGCTCAAGTGAATTTGCATCCTCTTGTCGTTCAGGTCAATCGAATGCAAGATACGATGGAGAGGACCTTGGATCGTAAGACAACGTGGTCTGGCGAGAGCATAGTCACTGGGTATTCTATTCAGGGACTATTCTTACTGCCGCCTTGACTTGTAGAAGGACAAACTGCGGCTGCTGCTGCTGCTGCTTCAAAGACCTTCCTCTCAATTCCCAAAAAGTAGGAGTTGACTGGCCTCGAATGACCCGCCTAGTGGTATATCAGCATTTAGATTCGAGATGTAGACGTGAAGTTGGGAAAACTTGCGTCATGTGACTCAAGTATAAGAATGGGGGGGACCAGAGAGGGTTTATAGTCCCGATTAAGCAGAGAAAGTTATACGCTTGAAGTCTGATATTTGGGATGGCGGCGTCGGAGGAAATGCCCGCCTCCGCGAGAGGAGTCTCTCTAGTGTCTCAGTTTGGGGATCAAGACGGGGCCTCCTCCGCCTCCGCGGACGAGCGGCTAATTGGGCCATTGGCTCAGTGAACCCCCGGAGCTCGCTCCGAGCCTCTCTGGAGTCCGGGAGGGGGACTATGTGTCCCGAGGAAATAGCTGAGTTGACTCAGTTGACTCAGTTGAGGGCGGAGGCGGCAGGCAGCGGAGGGAGAGCCCGCCTCCGCGAGATAGAGAAAGGCAAGGTCTCGGGCTAAGTCGAATCTTGATACGGGATTAGTGAGAAACAGTGGTCTTTGGGTCACTATACGAATTTCCAGAGTCGCTGATTGGAACAGGAACGAACAAAGTGCCATGTACGTTCTGTTCAAACGTCTGGTAGACCCCCTTGACGGAGCTTCATCCGGCTTCGCAATGGCCAATGATGTCTGCGTAACGTGCTCTGGTGTTGGGGAACAGGCACAGGCAAAGCAGGTCCCGCCCCATTCCGGTCCTTTTCCTCCGCGATGCGCGCGCGATGCAGGTTCGAGGTTACCTTAGGCACCACGAGAGCTGGCTGGCGGGGCATAGTCCGTCGCCGCCGAAGCAGCTTTCACTAACAATCTGATCCATTGTTAGTTGCTTGGGAATAGGAATGGTAACGACGGAGCGGTGCCCGGCTCCGCGAAGCAATTATATCAATTCGATGTCTGTTTCTATATAAGGGCGTCTATTGCGCTCGAAATGGTATAAAATTCGTTAAGCCCAGAGGGCTCGGAGCAATGGAAAAGGGAGATGGTCTCTGCTGCCCACCCTGCCCTCTTTGCTAGCTATTCCCTTTTCGGGATTTCTTCTCTCCTTTGTTATACACAGCCGAGTTTGTTGCTGTGGCTTCGAGGCGATTGTTCTTCCTCCAAAGTCGAGAATCACAAATCTGGGGGTTTGGATGATGATCTCAGCTTCATGCAGCCTACAAGCCGGCTTGCTTTGGTATCTTCGTTTCTCTTCGTATCAGTAACGAGGGCCAAAGACGCTGTTTCCAGGATGCCTTGGATGTTGTCCTACTATCGGTCCAGTGATCGGGACCCCGGAAACAATTGTTCAGTGTGAACAGCGCACAACCATGGTCAGGTTCCTTGCCTAGAGTTCGTCGTGGATCTCAACATTCTCTTCCCCAGTCTTCTTGGTTGCCTCCCTGGCCTCCTCGGTCTCTCCCTTGGGACCGTCTCCCCCCTTCACCGGGACCTCCTCCATGACCTGCTCCACAATCTCCTCATCCGCAGTCGGCTCGCCCACTTGCCAGGCGTCGGCGTTGCCCTCAGAGATATCCGCGATGTGCTGCGCGACCGCATCTACCGTGATCTTCTCGCCCTTGAACGGGAACGCCAAGCCCACGGCCGGGTTATAGACAGCCACGCCCTCGGTGGCATCCGCCGGCAGGCCAAAGAGCGACGGCATATCGGGGTACTCGCCGAGGTCGACCGTCACGAAGGTAATGTACTCATGGTACTGCTTCGCCATGGGCTTCACGGCCGATGTCCAAGAGTCCAGGTTCTCTTCGACCGTCGAGAAGAAGTAGGTCAACGATTTGCCGGACTGTGAAAATTCCATACGTTAGTAGTTTGCCTCTTGGACGTAACATGAGAAACCTCAGCAAGACTGCAAGGGGGTGCCAACTGACGCTCAAATACTCGGCCTCATTTCTCCTCGTTAACCGCGGGACGAGTTGCGACGCGCACTTTTTCAGCATCTTCTCCATCGAGTCGACCTCGTCCAGCTCAGACGTCATGTGGAACGCCCCGTCGGCGTTGTTATAGCACGCAATTCGCCCGGGCGCCTCATCGATCGTCGTCAGCCCAAAGGCGTAGCGGTCGCGGTAGCGCTCGGCCATCTCGGCGAAGCGCTCGCGCAGGCTGGTCTCGGACTCAGCCATGTGCGCAATCAACACCACGTCGTCGTCCTTGTTGAAGGATTTTGCGGCCTTGTTGTCCAGAGGGACAACGGCGGGGCGAAGCATGCGGCGGACAAAAGCAGTAATTCTGGAAAGAGAGACAAGCGCTGCTTAGCTGAAGGCCGCTCTCTGTGACGAGGTGAGGGAGGGTTGGTGGTAACCTACTCAGAGGCCTTTCTGGGGCCGCGGTAGTGGTGCTTCGTGCCGTCTTGGCGGTAGAGGCGGATGGCGGGGTAGGAAGCGACGTCGAGGTCGGCGCAGAGCGAGGCCGACGTCGAGCAGTCTATTGAAAGGGCGGTCGGGACGGCGTCTTCGACGGCGGACCAGTGCTTTTCGAGGGCTGTGCTGGCATCGCTGTTGTTTATGTTAACCAATGTTGCAGTAGAGGTGCGGAGTGTCGTACGTTGAGGGCTTTGGTACGGTCAGCGCTTTGCTAGCATGTGGCGGCAGCGTCGGACTTGGTGGGATTTTCGCAAGGACATCAAGTCAAGGACTAGAGACTCGGCTTACCTCAATAACTGTACATGGCGTCAGCGTGATGTCGGAGAGAGGTAAAGTGGGAGAGGGAGGGGGAGGGTCTCGTGAGACTGGTTCAACTTACATGCTACTAGGCTATGCTCATTCGCCTTGAGGGCATCACGGGCTTCGGTTTCGGTCTTGTGCTGCCAACCCATGCCCGCGCCAGTGAGCGCGAGCAACGGCAAGAGAGTCTTCAGAGACATGATGAGGGTGATTGTGAAAACAAGAAGCGCCCTATGCTATGCGATCTGCACTTGTCAAGTGAGTAGTGGTGGGGGTGAAAAAGAAGCTTAAAAAGAAGCAAGCTTCGGAGAGAAGGAGGAAAGATTGGCGCGGAAAAGAGGACAGCAAGCTCCGGATCGGGGGAGGTAGCTCCCCCATGTCAGGTATTGAATTGGGTTTTTTGACTCGCCGTGTCGTGGCGGGGTGCCCCTGACGGGGGATGAGTGGCCGTCTGATTGGTGCAAGATCGGAGGGTGCGGCCGAGACTCCTGAAACGGCGGACGGGCAGGGATATTGATGAGCGGCCGTTTGATCGCCGGAGCGAGTGGGGTAGGTGGGGCCGTGGCAGCGGTGACATTCGAGTTGAAGATTCGCGAGGATCGCAACATCACACTTTGAAGAAGGAGACATTGATATTGAGCGAATTAGGGGTTGCCAATTCTATGAGTTCAGTCCTGAATAGTCAAAAGAAACAAGTTGAGTCGCATGGATTGAACATGAGTAGCCCTGCTAGCCGTACCATGTATCTCTTAGTGAAACGATCAATTTCCTTGCAGGCCGAAGGGCGCCGAGCTGGACGATCTCAGCTCGTCAAGATGTTAAAGGCATCACAGTGTCAGATCTTCATTTTGAACCGTACTTGCTCTCTTCTCGTAGGTACGATAAAGCTACCTGAATTGCTCTGAGAGATCAGGTGATTCTTGACGATATCGATGTCCAGAGGCGAGGGCGATTTCAATTTCACCCAGCTTACGGAATGGCCCTGGGCCTGTACGTCATTTGGCGCCATTAAGGGGTAAGGCTTTCAGCTTCTGCTTGATTCAATCGAAAGGAGGCTCTGTGTCGAACCCTCTTAACAAAACATGCTTTGGCCCGCAGGGCAGAAGAGAATAAAGATCCAGGGGAGTAAGGGAGGGGGCATCTTGGTACCGTAGTACCACAACGAACCCTGTGGTCCCAATGCGGTCAATCAATAGTCAAAGCAAAAGCGACATCCAGAACTTGTCTCATGTAATCAAGTCGGTCTACCATCTCTATGAAATAGACTTCTGCCCCTTCTGAATATAGATAGATCTCAGCAGTTGATTGCGATTCCACCACTACAGCTTCCTTTTCCATAAGTATCGACAAACCATGGTCATCTCGTCATCAAGAATTATTCAAGATGCTCCTTCTACTCAGAATTGCAATCTGTGCCCTGGCAACTGCTCCTTTGATAGCTTCGGCTCCGACTGATGTTCGATCACCTAGTCCGCCACGCTCACCCGCGCCTTTTACCTTCGAGCAATGGGCTGATGATATTATCAACAACCCCGTGGCCCAGCACATGTCTGCTAAAGAAGCAGCCGAAGCTTCAATCAGAGCTCGGAACATCATCGGTGCGATTTTCAACCTGCCCATCACTTCGTCTGACTTTGTGCTATGGGACTAAGAAAAGTGCTGAATTATCCGCTAACATGCGACTCTCCGCATCAGAATGGCAATCTACTACCCCTCACAATACTTCTTGGTCTGAGGACTCCAATGGAAGTCAATTGAATAAGCGCGACAAAGTTTTCCTCAAGTCCAAGACTTCTGAAAGTGGCAAGATCATTGATATCAACATCGTTCGATGCAATAGCTTCCCCACAAATATGGCACCGGTATGTCTTTATATCTATCAACTCTATTTGAGTATTTCACAAGACAATTCATCTAGCTGACAGTCTCCATTTAATTTTACTCTACCAGATTGAGAACGCCGCCTGGTGCATTCAGTGGCTTGCAAACCAAGATGACAACAAGTGCGTTGTTAAGGAAAAGGAGGTGACAGGTTTCTGTCGCTCAAATGGTGAAACTTTTATTCTCGGATGGAGGAAGAACAAGGAATCTCTGCACCAGTCAACTTGGTAAGCGCTTGCTCCTGCCCTCAACTTAGGCAAACGACTTTGACTGACAAGATACTCCCAAACTATAGCCAGGAAATCGCAAGGACCGCAGGAAGAATCATGGATTACTGCACAAGCAGTGGATTTGTACAAGGAGAAACAACTGCGTGGAATGATACGGCTACTGGAGTTATGATTCGGTCGTTTGAGTCGGGTGCTATTGACAAGAACATCAAGCTTGAGATGCGATTGGATATTTGAAACAGCTCTCGACGAGCCTAAAGCTTTTCTTTGTCATATTTTCTTCTTCCCAAAGACGAAAATTGATTTGCCTTCGTTACCTACCTTAGTATTTTCGTTCGAATGAAACCCAAACAGGTTGCAAAGACTTAGTAGTAACCGTAGGTATTCAATCCAACCATTGACAAAGTACATCATGACGAATTCTCACACCTTGATCGCTGAGCCGCTCATTGAAATATAGTTCATGTGATGTGTTCCTCAACACTAAATGCGTTCATGATTGAAAACTTCTACTTATGGGGAACTGAGATTTTGCCCGCCTCATTTGCACATAGCTGAGAATCTAGACTCAAAACTGACAACTCTCTGGTTGTAGAGTCTGTGAGATCGATAACAATTCATGAAGTGTTTTATCATACGAAATGGAAAATCTTACAATTTAAAGTGTTTACGAAACAAAGTTCCAGCGTCATTTGAATTGTATTCGCTCTCGCCATTGTGGCGTAGGAGTCTAGAGGAGTATGCCAATAGGCAGACCCTCAATTGTAGTATGCAACAAGACGAATTGATAAGCATAGCCGCACGGGCCCATCACCCCTTTAGCTACTTCTCCATTCACAAGGGTCCTCAACGTCCACCCGAACATCAAAAGCAGCATTGCGCTCATGATGAGTTCGCGCCCCTTCACCTGCACAGAGTGCACGCAGACATTTACGAGAAACGTAGGTACCAATGAATCTCCCCTCGATAATTGTGACTAAGAACCGTCAAAGGAAAACTTGGAACGACATAAACGCTCAAGTACGCGTCAGCCCCGAACTTCCAAAGTTGCCAAGCTCACATTCGCCAGGACATGGTAGCGATAGCCGTAGGCCTTTCAGATGCGAAAATTGTAAAGCTAGGTTCACTAGGAAGGATGTGTGCAAGCGGCACGCCGAAAGATGTAGAGGCACATTTAGTCGTGTCTTGACGGTCACCGGTATTCAGAATGGAGCGGAGCAACCGGCGCCGGCCTTTGAAGAAAATGCTCCTTCACCAGACGACCAGGATGATTCACCCTTTTCAACTTCTCAGGAAGGCATTGCCGCTGGAGTTGGAGATGACACCTTCTACCCAAATAGCCCACCAGAAGCCACAGAAGTGCCTGACCCGGAGGAGCTTCTAGTGACGGGGTAGGTTATCCAAAGAAAAGGTCTCATTTCACTACTGACTGTTTCTTCAGGATTATGACGAGCGGAACAGAAACTTACGTATCAACGTATTTCGAGAGTTTCCATCAATCATTCCCACTTGTGCATCGGCAAAGCCTAGGGAATGAGCTACCCAAGTTATCGAAGCAGATTTTCGTCTCAATTGGCATGCTATATGCTTCCAGGAATGTGTCCGAAGTGGAAACGGCATCCTTAACGCGGAAGAGCCAAACGCTATGGAAACATGGCCATGATGAACTCTGGCGAATTGTAAGTCTGAACTCTGACATCAATCAAGCATTGACCTTATTGGTATTATGCTAACTTATGCCAGGTTGAGGCGGACTGGAGAGAAATCCGCAGGACATGGGTTATGCAAGCATGGCTCCTGCATATCATCTATGGGGCCTTTAGTGGCAATGCATCTGACTTCGACAAATCAAAGAAGATGTTGCGATGGATTGTAGACGTGAGTTGTCCATATTAATAGGTACTGGCTGGTTTTCTCATTAACCTGACCTGGATAGGCCGCCCGAGACCTCGGTCTTCTACGTCAAAACGTTTTTCAGTCGACATCCAGGTTCAGAGATTCAGAAGAACAGACACTACACGATCACTGGATGTCATATGTTGAGTCAGAGTCCATGAAGCTATCCATGTACACTCTGCTGTTCCTCGACTTTCATATTTTCTCCCCTTGCAATATTCGCCCGCTTACCACTCCCACCGAGCTCGATTGGGAGCTGCCCCTTGCTTCATCATTATGGGAAGCGGACACATCGTTAGCATGGGCCCAACGGCTCGGAGACGAACCCCGAACTGTCGGACTCACCCGGTCTCACGACACGCCTGGCATGACTTGCCCAACAACAAAATCACTAAACCTTGCCATGCAATCATTGATGACGGACACACCGAGTCCGCAACTGTTAGCGGCGCTGCGGGCTTCGCCGATGGCAACACTCTTCGTCCTTAGCAGTCTCGATTCCCTCGTCAGGGATTTTACCCGGTGCTACTACCAACTCCCACCGGCTTTGGCCGACCCAAATGCGTACCACATCCTCACTCAATCTCAAAACAGGCAGGTCAGTGCAGCCTTACGATACGTTTCCGAGATCATCACAACGCAAATCGCCGCGGCGGATAGCTCGAACTGGCACATCTTGAACTTTGCTGAGCGTATTGCGCTATCTGTCAAGCTCGCGCTCTGCAAACCCGATGATCTTCTGATTGGTGGTATCGTGGAGAATAGCGTCGTTGCTGGCCTCACCACCGCGACACATCTCACCATGGGACTTCAAGTTGGAGCTCGCAGATCGTTGCAAAACCTACTCAGATACAACTCCGGCGATGACGGGATGTTGGTCTTCCTTGATGACTTGATGGACGTCCTGTCAAGTGTGACGAGCATCGAGAGACAAGATCCGTTGCGAGAAGCGCCGTGGGCGACGGTGGCTACATACAAGATCCTCCTGGCAATATGGAGATTACTTCGATGGGCAACAGGAGAGATACGACGGAAGGCAGGTACCCAGCCGACCGTCCGCACTCGGTTTGAGGCTTCTACCATCGTCTTTAATTCCATCCTTGAAGTCTTGCAGCGACAAGAGGACCTCCATGGCCAAACTCGGCGCCTCTCGGTTCGGGAGTCTACCGCATTAGGCATGGCGTCGGAGGCGAGCGAGGTACGCTTTATGGAAACCGTATTACAATTCTGGAAGGGAAGACCTGTTTGGGCGATGGGGTCCTTCATGACAACGGTGCTCGAGGAGGTCATCTCGGCTGGTGGTATGGCTTATGAGTAAGGGTGTGCCGACTAGCGCGCGGCGAGTAGGCCGCTGCCCCAGACTAGGGTTGCTGCGGAGCTCCGCCGCAACCACCACTTATCTCGAACTGTATATCTACACTTTCAAGAGGCACTTGAATTGTCACCTGGAGTAGTCTGTGACATCCCGAATTTCCCGAATCGTTTCAATCTTCCAAAGGGGTTTACTGCCGACTATATCCTACACCAAGTCAACACTAATTGTATCGCCGTCAAATAGACGCCAAGAGAATCATGGCTACACAGGAGAATTTTGGCTGGGTATTACTTCCCCTACTCTTAACATCATTCCCTTGTTCACTCACAGGTGACTCTAGTTTGGCCTGGGGTCAATGGGAATTGGCATGGCACTGAATCTTCAGAAACACCTCGCTTCGAAGGGTCTACCGCCTCTTCGGTACAGCAACCGAACGCTCTCGCGAGGTGAATCTCTGCGGGAAGCCGGGGGACTTCCTGAACGAGACTTCGAGACTTTGGTCCTCAAGTCATCCGTCATATTCACAATGGTAGTTTCAAAGCATTCTTGTGGTTTTGTAGCATTTTCGTATTTGCGTATTGACCATCACAGATCTCAAACGATGAGGTCCTGGACAGTCTTGTATCGAAGGCTCTCGATACTTGGAGCAGCGCCATACTCGAAGGCAAGATATGGGTTGATACATCAACAGTCCATCCAGATACGGCGGCGAGGTGCTCCGAACGTCTTGCTAAAGTAGGCGCTACATTCGTCGCGTCCCCCGTCTTCGGAGCTAGCCCAATGGCGGCCGCTGGTCACCTCATCTTTGCCATGGCCGGTCCCTCCACTGCTACTGAAAAGCTGAGGCCGTTTGTGGTCGATGTCATGGGGAAAAGCATAATAGATATGGGAGAAGACGTCCGTAAATCAAGCTTGCTAAAGATATCAGGGTGAGCATCATGCCTTATCATTCGCCGCCGTTGGATCATATCAGTCTGAGATTACTCAAAACTACTAATCAGATCTCTCTGCAACAGAAATATCTTTGTCATTGGCTTTCAGGAGTTGACCGCCGAAGCGCAAGTCTTTGCCGAGAAAACCGGGCTCGGTACCCGCCAAATGGAGCAGTTCATCAGGGACATGTACGGGCCCGTTATCGAGAGCTACTCTAAGCGGATGACAACGGGCGCATACGCGCCACCCCTGGGTACACCCCCTGGCTTCGCAGTGTCCCTGGCGGCCAAGGATGCCGGACACGCTGTGAGGATCGCCGAGGAGCATGGTACGAGGTTACCGACGATCGAAACAGCATTGTCCCGTATGGAGGCCGCGAGGAAGTATGCAGGGGAGTCATTGGATAGCTCGTCAATCTATGGTGCAGCTCGGCTCGAAGCCTCGTTGCCTTTTTGGAACGAGAGTAGCAGACAGTCTAACTAGAATAAAACCGTCGTTTTGTCCAGATGAAAAGGTTATTAAAACAGGCCAAGAAGACAAGAAAATATTTCTAATGTCATGATTGACGATTCATTATCCTAGCTCCTTTTGCCCTTTCTACCAATTGCAGTACTCAACAAGCAGATATTACCGACAGCCCAGACTGGCCAAGAATGAATCAGAAGAGTGACGCCAGGCAGTTGATCGTTGTAGAGGTTTTCCTCATTCCCAATTACATGACTAGTTGTACATATCCCACAGAGCTAGCTAACCATGACCTACTGACCCGGATCCGGGGACAGGGTACGGGGCTCCGCTGATCCGTCCAGCTGGATACTAGCTCCATGGACAACTGTCATGTTATCTAGCGCCCTGTGTTAGACTGTGTGTCAAGGAGCGAGGGAAAGACTCGGAGATAACGGCAACGGCACTCAGCCGGGATATGGATGTCTCATCCCGCCGTACCCCAAGATTGCGGAGCTCGCTGCGTCGACCGGGCCAACCTCAAAATGCGGGGGCGGAGCTCCGTTGGCGTGCATGAGACGACGGTGGATCCGAGATAGCAGCATGACCGAGCTTGATGTGAAAATCCCCTATCTCAGCGATAACCAGCCAAGCCACTCGCAAGTTGAGTGTAGCTGGGCTTGCTACCACCACAAAGGCCACCCCCATGTCAATTACTCCAAGATCAGCCTCAATCAAGATGAGAGAGAGAGGACAGACTGCTGCTATTGCTCAGCACGGGACACCTATAAACCCCGAGCTTTCCCAACCAGCCCCTTGAGATCCCCTGGCATCTGCTTCTAGCCATTCTCAACCTGGCCAGGCCAACCTCGACATAAACTTTGGCTCTTCGACAACACTGAGGCAGACCTCTCGTTGGGTCTTCCATCTTTTCCACTCTCAGATTTCCAAAGGACGACCTGTGTCGTGAGGGTATTCGACCAGCACATCTCCAGACACACCCTATAGAGACCATTTATTAGCATCTCTCCCTCGGCCAAAGTCCCAATAATGTCTTCTGAAACCAACAAGAAGACAGCACAGCCAGACGGTGGGGATGTTATCCGAACACATACCGACTTCGAGGACGGCAGCATGGAGAAACTCAAGCATGGCGAAGTCGACCCGGCCCTGGCATTTGCCAATGGAGAAGAAGTCACATTCACCCCTGAAGAGGAACGGAAAGTCCTGTGGAAGATTGATAGAGCAATCCTGCCCCTTCTGATGTGGATTTACGCTCTTCAATTCGCTGACAAGACGTCCCTGAATTATGCCTCGTTGATGGGCATTCGTGAGGATACGGGCCTCAACCCCAAAAGTCAGGAGTACAGCTGGGCATCGTCCATCTTCTACGCTGGCTACCTCCTCTGGGAGTGAGTTCCATGATCATATCCCAAACCTAAGGAATTTTTTGCTGATTACCTCCAAGATTCCCTACGACGTATCTTCTTCGACGCCTGCCTCTCGGAAAGTACACATCGGCCAACATCATCCTTTGGGGCGTTGTCCTAGTCTGCCACGTCTTCGCTTTCAACTACGCCGGTCTCCTCTCGGTCCGCTTTTTCCTCGGCGCCCTCGAAGCCACCGTAACACCAGCCTTCGTCATCCTGACCTCGGCATGGTACAAGCAGAACGAGCAGGCTAAGCGTATGGGCTACTGGCTCAGCTGCAATGGTGTTGCCCTGTTGACCCTCGGTCCCATTGCCTACGGCCTTTCTGGTGCCCACAACACCGTCCTGGCAACTTGGAAGGTTCTGTATCTGGTCCTTGGCTTGCCCACCGTCATCACCGGCGTCTACTGTTGGTGGTTCATGCCCGATAACCAGACCAATGCAAAGTTCCTCAACCACCGAGAGAAGACAATTGCCATCGAGCGCATCCGTGGCAACTTCCAGGGTATCGGAAGCCGCAAGTGGAAGTGGGATCAGTTTTACGAGGCCTTCAAGGACCCCCGAACTTACCTCTATGTTCTCTTCTCGCTGCTCATGAACATCCCCAACGGAGGTATCACTGCTTTTGGTTCCATCATCATCAACTCTTTCGGCTTCAACTCTCGCTTGTCCCTCCTTCTTAACATGCCCACTGGCGTTGTTGATATCACCTGCAAGCTTCTCTTCACGTACCTTTCGGACAAATTCATGGACCGATCCCTCTTCGCCTTCATCGCCATCCTCATCCCAATGATTGGTGGCATCATGATGATCGTCATCCCCCTCTCAGCTCAAGGCGCCTTGCTCGTAGGTTACTACCTCATCGGAGCCGCGGGCTCATCTTGGTGCCTCGTCATGGTCATGATCTCAAACAACACTCTCGGCTACACGAAGAAGGCTACCGTCAACGGACTCCAGATCCTCGCCTACGGAGCTGGTAACTGGATCGGCCCGCAGACGTTCCGTTCCAACGAGGCGCCCAACTATCACAACGGCAAGCTCATGGTCGCCATCATGTACGGCCTTGCCGCATGCACTATCGTCGCTATCCGACTTGTCAACATCTGGGAGAACAAGCGCCGTGACAAGAAGGCGGCCGAGGAGCCGGAGGTTATCGCATCGGGAACTGAGTTTTTGGATTTGACGGATTTCGAGCAACCCGCTTTTCGATATGTCCTTTAATAGTGCCAAGTACGTTTGTCTGAGGACATCGAAGGATAGCGTACTGGCTCTCTTTCATTGTCGAGTCACGTACCGACTTTAGGTCTACATATTTTAGAGGAGTGAGATTTGAATATTAATGCATCGACTTTTTCTTCATAACGTTCCAGGGACTATTCCAGAATGGACATACAAGGCTAGCCAATTCCCCCTTAACCCGACGATACCAGATAATGGCGACAATACACACGTTCTCGGTGCTTGTCCAAATCTGCTCGATAAATCAATTTTCATTCATGGATGTCAGAGAGATGAGCCTCGAATAAATTGCATTTCGCTTTGACCCCTCATAAACGTCTGTGCTTGTATTGACGCCACTCTGCTCTCCATGAGACAAACAAATTGTCCCGTTGTACGCAATTTTCATGGAAAACAAGAAAAGAATCGTCAGATTATTTCCTTGCAATGAGTGACTACAGTTCGACCGAATTACTAAAATCTATGACCTGATGGTAACATATCAAGCTTGCGGCAGGTGGTTGTGCGTAAAATCATTCCGATTACTCAAACAAGAAGGTCATATCTACATTCTATTTGTTCATGAGAAACTCCTCAAAATCCTCGTCAGGCAGCGCAGGCTGCTCATCAACGCCATCAAGCAGTCCAAGGTACCAAGTCAAATCTCGACCATCCTGCTCGCGTTGCGCAAAGCCGTTACCCCAGTATCCGAACCGGTTGCTCGTCGTGTACTTGAGGTCGTAGTCCTCCCAGCGCGGGGTGGCGATTGTCTCGAAGAACTGGATACGCGAGCCCGGCCACATCATGGGCTCCTTGTCCACGGTGCCGCTCTTGAACCAGGATCGGCATGGTGAAGTCCATGCCGTCCGCGGCAGGAATTTGCGCCGGTGCTCGGCGAAGTCGTTGACGGCCTCCTGCTTTGGGCAGAACGAGGAGATCTCTTCCTCTGACATCTTGTGGAGCATTTGCATCACGTATCTCGCCACCGTTTCGGTGATGGGGAGGAAACTTCCGTGACCGTAGGGACCGTAAGGGCCGTTGAAGACTTTAGTGCAAATTTTAGCCCGAGTTCTTGCGTTAGAATCGAGGGTAATGTGATCAACTTACTGACGTAGTTGGGCATGTTGGCAACTGTCATGGAGAGGTAGGTGTTTGGTGTATCCCGCCAGTACTCGCTGAGACTGACGCCGTCGCGGCCTATCGTAGGGTAGTGTGGCCTCCAGCTAACGTCAAAGCCTGTAGCGCAGACAATGATGTCGAAGTCGTGTTCCACTCCATCTGCAGTCTTCATTCCTTTGGGTGTGATTTCCTGGATACTTGAAGAGACGACGTTCACGTTGTCTTCGCATAGCGCCTCGAGATACCCATTTCCGGGAGTTGGCCTCCGGCAGCCAACCGCGAAGTCCTTCGGGATAATGAGGTCCTGAAGATCCGGTCTGCTGGCGAGCTTGCTGCGCATGTCTTCGGCCGCGAACTGATGACTTGTCAATCAAAGATCTGGGAGATGAAGCTGGGATAAAAACCTACCGCTTTGGCATCGGCCTGTTCCTTTGAGCCATTGAGAATGAATCGGAAGCGGGAGTTCAACTCGGACTCAATCTTCTTCCTGTATGCGAGGTATTTCTTGGGGTCTTTTCGAAGTATCTCGTGTTGTTCTTCGCTGTCTGCAAGTGTATGCGTCAGAAGTCGTCAAAAGTCTCGGGCTGTGATCTGACGACTTACATTCGAAGTTGCTACCCTTCTTTCCAGCAAAGCGCTGACCGAAACCACCAACCACCCAAGAGGAACTTCTGATGAAACAACTCAGACTGCCGACGACTTCAACTTGTTACTTTGATTTCTTGTGGGAATACGGGGTTAGGGTTGTGAGAGAACATACTCGGCTGAATATTGGGAACGATCTGAACTGCAGAGGAACCAGAGCCAATCACGCCAACCTTCTTGCCCTTAAGATCGATGCTGTTATCCCAGTTGGCGCTGTGCATCATCTTGCCCTTGAAGGTTTCTCTGCCCTTGATGGCGGGCCATTTCCACTTGCTGTAGACCCCCGTGTTAGCCAGAAACGCACATCAATCTGATGGACGCTACCTACTTAAGCACGCCGCTGGCGTTGACAAAGATGTCGGCTGAGTCTTCAATTGTGGTGCCGTCTGCCTTCTGGATCTGGATGCTCCACTTCTGTTTCCCCTCGTTCCAGAACGCTCCTGTCACGGTGTGGTTGAGGCGGATGTACTTGTTGAGATCATACTTCTCCGCGATATCCTTGAAATACTGCAGGATCTCCGGGGCACTCGAGTAACTTTACCAAAGAATAATGTTAGTGTCCGCACCCAAACGCCGTAGACGTATGAAGACGCTCAAGCTCACAATTTCGTCCACTCTGGGGACGGCGCCCACGAGAACTGGTAATTGACAGAGGGAATATCGCATCCGCAGCCCGGGTAGCGGTTCTCGTACCAGGTGCCGCCGATGGAAGGGTTCTTTTCGTAGCAGACGAGGTCCAGGTCGAGGGTCTTGCAGGTGTCGATTTCGTGGGCTAGGTTGAGGGCGCTGGCGCCGCCGCCGAGGCACACGATGCGGAGCTTTCTTCCGCTTCGGCTTGGCTTCTCCAAGATCTGGTACTCGGCTTGGGCCGGGGGTGCGGGGAGAGAACCCATGCTTGCGGCGAGTTCGGGGGTTAAAGAACGGTAGACAGGGGGCAGTAAAGTTGGGGTAATAAGAGATCTGTGTGCTTTGCTTGTGATCAAGACTGAGTGAGCGGAAGACGAGTTCTAACGATGTTGGGGAGCTTTCAAGGACGAGTGATGGGGACTAGACTATGGGTGTCTTGGATCGCCAATGCCTCAGAGCTTGAGTTTTGTGACGTTGTACATGGAAAATGCGCTCTTATATGACATCTCCAAGTTTCAATGTGCATACAATGACCCCTTTAGCTCACGCGTATTATCATACCTCCATGTATAGCGGAGCTCCGCTGGTGCATACGGCGCCATCCCAAACCATCATCCCCACAACTTACAATCGCGCTGAGCTTCACTACACCAACCCGCGGCGTTCACTCCGCCGCCGCCGCCTCCGCCTCCGCCTCCACTGATATCCTTCTTCCTTTCGACCCATCCTCTACCCATCTCGGTCCAAGTCAGTCGCGGATGTGGTCAGCAGTCGCCTTTTAGTTACGCGGGGTTGTCATAGTCTACCAGAATACCAAAGACGGATAAAGATAGCAGGATAAGGATAGCGTGAACCCGAAGGACCCCTGGCCAAAGATGGTTTAGCTAAGGAAAGTCTGTCAAGGGTATCGGGGAAATAGATTGTGGATCACCATTCGCTGCCGAACCAACGTCTTATTCATCTCGCTGACCCTCGAGTCGAGGCGAATGCCAATAAACAACGGAAAAACTCTATTCTACTCTATTTGCCGAGATGAGGCGAGGGATGTCCCGCGGGCTGCGGACTTTGGACTCTGTCCGAAAGTGCAAGTTTCCGAGCCCCAGCACGTTCAACACATAAACTCCCTTCGAAAGCAATCATACAGGGATATCTGAAATGTGGAAAACCAATGTGGTCTGCCAAGATCTTTTGGCCGGATTTGCATTCCGAAACCAAGGCCTCGATGAGATGAACCTATCGCCAGCGGAAGACATCACTTATATCGATTAGTTCCCTAACAATCAGTCCATTGGACTAATTTATTCTTTAGTCTCTCATCATATTCATTAAATTCTCCCTTTCGAGCTGGTCTAGTCGTCTGGTTATCCCCGCAAGATCGTGCACATTAACAACCCCTTGAACCGAACTCTCAACCAGCCATTCACCCCTTGACCCATCTCATGATGATCTCATCAAATCCTCACAACTCTATCCGTAGAGACTTTAGACAGCGCCCGCCGGCAAGAACGACATGTCAAATTGGAAAGGGCACTTGACAGCGGTGCAGATGCAGCCGCTGCCCTTGGGGATCGCCTTGCAGCGCATGGCAGGCGTCTTGGGGTCGCAGCAGCAGCACTGCTCCTGGGTGGCGGGGTCGAGCGGGCACGCGATGAGCGGCACGGCGCAGATGCTCTTCTTAGCGACCTTGCAAACGTAGTTGCCGGCGCCGCGGTCCTCGAGGTCGCAGGAGCAGCAGTTGGCCTTGGGCTCGGGGAACGGGATCGCTTCGCGCGGGGTGAGGAGGTCGCCGGAGGCGACGCCGGCTGGGGAGGCGTGGACGAGGGTGAGGGTGCCGGCGATGGCGAAGAGGAGGGTGTTGATGGAGAATTGCATTTTTGGTAGTTTGTTTGATGTGAAGTTTTGAGGTGACGTTGATTATTGAGGTATGGATGTTTGATAATCTCTGGTAATGATCATCAGCCCTTCGAGGCTCTTCGGTGACTTATATACTCTTTCCATTTCGTATAACACCCCCTTGACTGTTCCTCATGCTTCTGAGAGTCTATCCAGCTATACCGCAACGATGACAACATCGCACCAAACCTCTGACTTCAAGAACCTGATTGGTCACTTAGAAGAACCATATCTACCCTCCCTAGACTTACTCCATTACCCTTCCGTAGCCAGGAAAAAAGTTCCACATCCAAGAAGGAGAGACACGACGATGTCAGACTGAGACCCTTTCAAGCCTCAAGCCGGCACCACCCGCGACCGGTGAGGTTTGTTTGACCTGAATTGGGCAGTAGCACGAACCGCTTAGCGTCTTCGCGCGGATCTCAAGCCACCTGCAAGAATTCCTACGAAAAACCCCGGATCTGCGCAGATAATTGCGGATCGTTCGGCGAGGACACAAAAAAGGAAGAAAACTTTTATGGCCGGCTACCTACGGAGTACCACCTTGTCTCTTAAAATCTCATGATGGCCAGAACGATTTGGGCTTTTTTTGAGTTTGTCGTTATTTCGGTTCACCAGGGGAATTAGTTGACCGCTGTTAAGCGAGATTCTGCAAATGCAAGGCAGGTTATATACTGAAAAAGTCAGAAATCGTGTGATTATTAGACATCGCAGGTTCATCAAGTTAATGTAAAGGACCTAGAAATCAGGCAAAGTATTAGCTTGATACTCCTGGGCCCCAGTGTGCTGCATGTGCCATTGCTATGCGGGCTTGCCAGTGCCCTTCCCCCCCGCGAGATCTCGGATCCCGCCGAGAAAAGGGCCGATCACAGGGTTGACAGGCAAACAAGAATGTCTCGATCAGTGTGATGTCGGATTGAATGTGGGGGATTCAAGTAGACCGTGAGACACTCGTGTAAGTGTTGAAAAGTGTTGAAGGGAGAGAAAAGATTAGGCATGAGCTGTACATCACCTCGCCAAGAGTTAAAAGAGAGCGTTTTCGTCCTCGATATGGCTGTTGACTGCAAGCCGGGAAGCTTGGCAGGTGCTGACCCGTCAGCTCCATGTCTCAGTCGAAGCCTTCGACAGACTCGGTATCGCGTAGGGCCATGATTCCACACGGATAGACAGCAGTAAGAGCGATCCTGATTCCTTTATGATTATGCTATTTAATCTCACCTTGAGTCTCTAAGAAAAGCTAAGCATCTGGTCAATGGGTACTAAGGCCATCGTGAAGGCCCGCTCTGGGGCCCTGAATCGGACTCCCGCTCTGCTGTGCCTAGCCCTTGGAGCTGGAACCCCTTTCGAAGGGCTCGAAAAGGAGGCCACGGGACTCCGGTGACATTCCTCAAAGGGTGAGTGAAGAATTTTAGGGTTGGGTGACTGAGGATGAAGGCGTCCTGGGCAGACGTGAGAATGACGATCTGCGGCCCGGCCCCCGGTCTACGAGGCTCCGGATCCGGACATCTTGGCAAGACAACTTCATTCTCTATTCTATATCCATATACCCTCTCGGCTAGGGACGGGCGACGGATTGTCGAAAAACCGTCAGCCGGTCGCATTCTACAACAAACGGCCAATTGGCCGTATCGAGAAATCAGTTCGTGGGAACCGTTGGTGCCGGTTTCTATTCTTAGAATTTGGGCGTGCGGAGAAGAGGGTTCTTGTGGATGACATGGCTTATGGCTTTTGCTAGTAATTTAATCGGCCGGAACTTTTTTTAAGATGATGGGTAAAGTTTAAAGATTGTAGATCCTGCAGCCTCGTCCATCCCATCCGGGGGGAGTGAAAGCGGCAGCGAGGAGGGTCGGGGCCTTGGGGCGGTTCCGGTCGTCAAGGACTCAAGACAGGGCTTGGGTTTTCCGACACATGTTCGGCTGGACGGCCCGCATGGGAAGGGCGGTTCAGTTGAAGACAAGACTTGACTTACATCTCAAGACAGATGCCAACGATCTATTTGGATCTCGGAATGTTTGTTGTCTACGATGTCACAGTTGCTAAGATGGCCATACCAAATCAAGCTCAAGTGTTCAGAAAGGTGTTCAGAGGTAACAATAAGCATTCATTTCGACCCTTTTGCGTTCAAGGCCAAGGAGACTGACTACATAGGTGGCGAAGCAACATGACTTTGTTTTGGTAGGTTTGGTTTCTTTTCATGATCTCATCATTTCCCCGTTCCGATAATTTCCGTATGATAAAAACCGCGCAACCGTTCGTTGGTGAGAAGGTAGAGAAGAACAGAAGATGTTTTCGCACTCATAGCAATAAATGCTTTGAACTCGCAAAGCCCCTCCCGAATGTTTAAAACTCACCCTCTTTCCGTTGACATTTAAGATGCTTGTTGGGCGTCTGTGAAAATCAAAAGTGTTGTTTGGTGTTGGTAGAGTATGTCCACTCCGATCCATCTGCGTTTTGAAGACTGCGTTGATTTCAAATCCGACTTTCCCCCTTTCAACTTCCACCGACCAGGGTATGTAAACGTAACAAAGAGGCTTCGACAGGGCTTGGTGGGAGGTATTCTTGCCAGAAGCGCATTTGATGATAAAAAGAGAATAGAAGAAGTTTTGCAGTAGAATGATATACGAACCAGTTTTTGTTGAAACCGATCACTTTTCCCTCAGTTCAAAGTTGGAGGAAAACTTTTTGGAAAGACACGCTTATAGGACACACACAGCTATTGGTACACGCGCCAAGATGGGGCCTCTCTTCGACAAGACAGCAAAGTGCCTGGCTTTCTTCAGTTCGCCATGCGCAGAATGGGGTACAGCGGCGCAGCCGGGGCGGGCTTGGCGTCAACCTCCATAGGCTCCGGAGACTTAAGACGGCTAGCCTCAGGAGACTTAGGAGCGGGAGCAGCGGCTTCCGCAGCGGCCTTCTCGGCGGGCTCGTCAGAGTACTCTCTGCGGTCGATGCGATCGCGGATGTACTCGCGGAGCGCCTCGATGGTGCGCATGTTCTCGAGCCACTGGTCGTACTTCTCCTCGCGCTCGCGGGCACCCTCGCTGGTGTCCGACTCGGAAGAGGGAGAGCCGACGGACGAGGCGACGGACTCGGCCTTGGGAGTTGTAACGCTGGAGGAGTCCTCGTAGATAATGGGGGACTTTGGCGAGGAGGGCGCGGCGCGCTGGAGCATGCCTCCCGAGTAGCGTCTGCGCTCGTTGCTGTCGAAGCTGGGTCCGAGTGTAGAGGCGGTGGACTGGCCGGGGAAGACGGAGCTGACGGCCGGGAGGTTGGGGTACATGACTGAAGAAGCGGTGGAGCTGTGTCTCGACTGGGGAGACATGCCGGAGGAAGAGGGGCTGGGCGAGTGACCAGATGTGTATGACATGGTGCT